TAATTCACTATCTTCTACAGTCTGCAAAAACAAGAAGTTTTGAAGGAGCAATCACCACTTAGCAATTCTAAGAATCTGTTAAAGTACAGCTGATATTTTTGAAGTATATTACCTTTTGCACTTGTTCTGGTCCTTGGCTAGGAGTGGGAACAACAGCAGGCCCATTAGAAGGTGCATTATGTATGCCCAGCGCAGATTCTGTACCAGCCTTCATTAAAAAAAAAAGATGCACACATTACCTCAAGATTAAATGTAGGTATCCTTTTTCATTACATTACAATTTTCATTTATCAAAAAATAGTACCTGTGCTGAATTTGCAACTTCATTTGCACTAACAGCAGCCTTCATATTAAAAAAAAAAGATTCACACATTATGTCAGATTAAATGTAGGTATCCATTACATTGCAGTTTGCATTCATAAAAAAATAATACCTGTGCTAAATCTGCACCTTCATTTCCACTAACCATATTTTCAATACCAGTAGCATTGATTGTGAATTCTGAAGGATGAGTGGCTATTTTTGCAGGCTGAGGGGCTGTTGTGGTTGGTGCAGCATTCTAGCATTGGAGTTATAAGGAGAAACATTAGCAATCAAGCTTTACTAAAAACAATGATGTTGGTAACAATTAAGAAGTAGTATTAGTACCAAAGGCGGTGCTTGATTCTGTTGTTTGATTAGTGCAAAAAACTCTTGCCTTAGTTCTTCTCTAATCTTGCTACTTGTACTCTCCGGTTGATGTTGCAGCTGCTGAATTTTTTCCTTGTCGCTCTCTCCTCTCTCGGTGGCTTGAAGCGGTAAGCTGTTCTTTTAACTTGTCTACCTCAGCTTGCATCTCAATATTCTTCTGTTGGGCTGCTGCTTTGCTAATGCAGATGCACGAGCACCGCTCTTCATTTCGTTCATTCATAAGTTGGCTTGGTCGGATACTTTTTGCCATGTATCCATGTCCGGGACCTTTCTGCTCCCCTGCATCCAAAGTGGTTTCCTTGTAGGTTTCATGAAGAATGTGCCTTTCTTGTTCTTTTGAAATCACGAAGCTTCCAACTCAATTCTCTCTACAACTTTGGAGAAGGCGCTTTCCTAAATTTAAGAACACAATTAGTGTATTCAACTTTAGCAAGTAGCAACAACAGTTCCAATTCAAGTATAATAAGAATTAGGTAAAATGGATACTTTAGAGATATGTATGACATTGGAGATAAATGAATAAAACATGTTATGAGAAAGCAATGGACAATTTGAACGCTAGCATTTCGGAGATATGTATGACTTTGGAGATAAATGAATAAAACATGTTATGAGAACATACGTCCTTTGGACACTCGTTTTACCAAGTAGCCCAGCTCTATTCAAATCACTTTAAAGAACATAACTTAACTACATAAAGCATAAGTACGATATTAGGTACATGAGATGAGTCTACATATTAGGTTGTTGGAAATGACAAGACAAGTAAATGGATGAAGACAACAATAGTAACCACGATAGAAACACGTTAAATTCGAAAAGCTAAACAAAACTACAAGCTGATGACATGACCGGACAGCTTGATTGTTACACACGACGGACGCTACTGGTCACAACAATACAAAAGTGAAAACAAGACAAGAAGAGAAAATAGCTGTTTGAGCTGACCGGATGCGCATGTGCGTCAGGTCACTCATCACCGGACGCGTCCGCTCAGCAAAAACCCTCTCTGGTCACTCTCTGTTCGTGACCAGACTCCAAGTCTCGGTGCGTCCGGTCATGCACTCTCTTCAGCGTCCGGTCGAAAAATGGACCACAGCCACTCTGCAACATTGACCGGACACGGAAACTGTGCGTCCGGTCCAGCGTCCGGTCGCACTTGACACTCAACAATGCTCTACAAAAATTACAGCAGCTAGCATATGCTACCAGGAGACCACAGAAAAAGTTTGGAAGCATTTGGCTCATCCTAACTTGCTATACCAAAAAGAACAGGTGGCACAGCTGAAAACTGAAAATAGCATAAAGATAGAATTGCCAAACCGAACACAAGGACAAGGAGATGATGACCTTTTATCACCCAATCAGGGCATGTACAACCGTCAATATAATAATTATGTTATATATAATTGCAACATCACTAAGTACTAATGAACAAAGTAGCACTTACATATATTTCCTTAGCAGCATCAGAAGACCATCGACCCTCCTTGATGCGTGTACTTCTCCAAAATGTCAAACCATCTGGCTCTTTACCAGTCTCCAGGTTTCTGTAAGATGTGAAAATTGAACATTGTTACTGTTTAGGTAAAAAATAAAAGAAGAAGATTAGGTTCCATATCATTACCTGCTCAAAACTAACTTGTGAAAAAGGTTTCGATCCTGTAAGATGTATTGTCTGTCGATGCAGGGAATTGCTAGAGTTTGTGGTGCTCATTCGCTAATATAAACACAGATATGTTAGTTGCACTACAAAATACAGACAATAAACACATATATGTCAGAGGCTTGGAACCTAGAATTTTTCACTTCCAAAATACAACACCAAGTAGTGCCACTCCACAATGTCCAAATCATCTGGCTTATGTTTCATTCTTTCATGATAACTGTTGTATGCCTTGTATGTGGCACTGAATTGAGCTCGCCATCCTTTGTAACGATACTTTGCAATCTTCCATATCGTAGCCTTCTCTTCATCATTGTTTTCAATGTTCCACCTAACCTGTAGAAAGGGGATGACCAACAAATTGTGAACAATTAAGATATTACAAAGAATTAATTTATCATATGCGGAGCAAGGCGTAACGATACCATTATATCTCGTGCTATTTTATCTTTAACAATCTGCTTGACATCTCCCCACTTTTTAACTCCAATAAGTGGAGTCCTTTTTCTTGTAAACCGAACTATTTCATCAACAAGCGAAGCGATAGTTATCTCCTATAGGACCGCCTTTTGTGGATGAGAAATCTATACTAAGTTTCTCGATTGCTAAGTTTAAATCTCTTAGCTTCAACCGATAAACCTTTCAAGGTTCCTCGCCCAATCTTTCTCTTGTCGCCAACCCCTCACTGTAAAATTGATGTTACAAAATGGAACGTATGTTAACATTATAAATCAGCATTTTTATGTTATAGTAATGTATGAACACTTTGAACCATTGCATACCTTTACGAGAGGCCTTTGGCCCTACTGAGCATGATTTGAAAGCGCATTGGTGCTGCGCTATTGTCACCACTTCCGTCTTCTTCAATGGTTTCATCATCTAAATATGCATCTGCACATACAAAAAAAAGTGAAAGTACACAGTTACAATGGAGTTGGAAATATATGTATATATTAAGGCTTCTACTAATGCCAAGATAAAACAAAATCAGATTACATATATCTTTAAGAAGCCCTTCCTCCTCAACCATTCTTTATATGTTGCAACAGATATTCAGCCGGGTGTCATCCTTAAATTCGCAAGATGCATATATAGATGTTATATATATAGTGTAAGTTTGAGAACTGTACCTAAAAATCATTGAGATGTATTTTTCTAGTACATTAGTACTGGGTTGTTTTCATCCTGTGGCGACTTATTGAGCCACACCTTGTACGCATCAATGTCTTCATCCACGAATTCCTTGTCCACTAACTTCCTCATGTGTACTACGTTGCTTAATCGGTGTGATTGCATATTCTCCTTCTGATCTAGTGAGTGTCTAAAACTGCTATCCTAATTTTCTTCTATTGTATACAATCTTCTATCATTGCTAATGCATCTTCTTCGTAATCTATACGCTGCAAGCAAAAGCTGTATCGTTGCCACATCTCTTCATATAGTACATGAAGTCCCTCATGAGAATAACCCATTTTAACTTTGAACTTCAATAAGTTGGCAAAGGTAATTTTAGCACGGTCAAGGTCCAATATGGCACGTTTCTGGTCCTGGGGTCCCCCCAAGAAATCAATAAATACTTGCCACATATCTCCTGTTTTCTAGAATGTTTTCCTACAATTGGCAGGAAATAAATTAATTGATGCACAGGTATACTTGTTAAATGAATAAACTATGTACTCATACTCAAATAGCATATATGGATGTTCAAGCTACGTAGTGTATGCCAGTAGTTAGAGCAATGACAGGAACAATGTGCCAAATGTCAAAATTTAGTGGATAGCATTTTGTCAATGTCAAAATTTGTTAGCTGCAAGTGCAATGTGCCTACAATAACTTATAAGGGGTGATAGGGATTCCTATAATGGCTATGTATACCATTGGCTACCATGAGAAAAGGAATGCAGGAATTAGAAGGAAAATCTTTCTCTTGCTTGGCTGGCCCCCTCCCTCCCTCTCAACCTAAACCACACCATAACACATCAAATGACACCTGTGTATTTCCATGATAGAAAGAAGTTGTTAATGCAACCATTGCATATGTGCAGACTTAAAGGATTTGTGGCTTATCCAGGAGAAAAAAAAGATGCTAAACTGTTGCTAGAATGACAAAACAAACTGAGCCATTAAGTAAAAAATACTAACACCTTGCACACACTCCTAAGTGCTGCAAGCAACCTGCTTCACCTATTATCCATTGCAAGGCTTCATCTCTGATGTTTTATATCTAACTGTGATTGTGCCACATTTTGTTTGACATACTATTATGTTCTTTATCTCTTTTGAAGTGGGCAAAATCATCATTGTATCAATATGGTTGGTGTTCTGAAAGACTAATTATTTCATATGGCATGTTAAAACTTCTAGTAACATATTCAAATTTCCCCAATATCTAAATTCCTAAATTGTCACATAATTTTTGTAGGGACTGTAACATCATGTTTTCAATCACACATTACACAATAGCAAACATCCAATTCCTCATCCACACTGTTAATTAACTGACCAATTAATTAACAGAAATTCTAGTAGTTCAATTAATTAATAGAAATTCTAGTAATAGAATTCAATTACCTGGGTTCGTCATCTTTTTGCTTCTCGGGTCCATCTTGTCGACGATGAGGTGTGTCTATGACACCGTTAGGGCTAGGGCTGGACCACGTGGAGAACCTCCTGCTGGACGCAGGAGATGGTGATCTCATGGAGGGAGGAGGCGGCAACCGCTTGGACGGAGGAGACGGCGACCTCCAGGTAGGCGGCCTCCGCGGAGGCCGAGGCGGAGGCGGCGTCGACGGTGACCTCCTGGTAGGCGGCCTCCGTGGAGGCGGAGGCGGCAGCGACGGCGACCTCGTGGTAGGCGTCCTCCGCGGAGGCTGCAGCGACGGCGACCTACCGGTAGTAGATGACGACGGCGCACGTGCGGTCTTCTCCATTGCGCCTCGGAGTGGAGAAGATACGTACCGCTAGGTTGGGGGCGGCGGCTCCTCTTCTACCGTGATGCAGATTAGATTAGGATAGGAATATAAACCACTCTCTATTAGGGAGGGAGGGAGAGTAATTAGCAGCCGGTGTTTTTTCGCGGGACGAGGGCGTCTTGTTGCCGAAAGTTTTCATGGATTCAATTTTGGCGCTTGAGTTTCGCAGGTCGTGGACAAACCACTAGACTAGTTGCATGTTGTTGCATGGACTAGTATTTTTATTCTTTTATACTATTATCTAATCATGTTTTGACTTGCATGTATTTACGTAAGAGATCTGTTTTGTCCATGCAGAAGACCGGGGGCGCGCGGCACTAGGAGGTACGTCTCGTATCCTCCCGTGACCCTTGGAGGCGCACGTCCTCCTGCTACAGATCAAAGGTGATGCATCCTCCCTGCTGCCGATCAATCTTAGGGCTCAGATCGGATCAGAGTTCCCTTGAATTCTCAGTTCTAATCGTGGTGCTTCATTCTCAGTTCTAATCGTGGTGGTTCATGTACCAGGCATGGAAGGAATTTTAGGGTTTGGAGTGCATCTCATTGTAAGCCGATCCCTCGCTATCTTTGATCCTTCGTCTAATATTGCTATTGGTTTGTGTTTCGCTGATAAACTACATTTGATCATCCACCTCAATTATGTTTTTGGTCAACACAATTGCCATGAGATTTGTCCAATTTTTTGTGACACAATGGGGCTCGTTCCCTCACTGGTTTAATTATATCTTGGGAGGGACGAAATTGTACCTAGTATTGCTATACAGTCCATGAACTGATCTGTTAAACTTTCAGAGAAAGCAAACAAATTTAAATTGCATGCACCGTAAAAGATTGGGCAAATGATTAAAAGTAGTAGATGATGGAAATAAAATTCAAGGTGAACACCTAAGTTGTTGGAGTTTTCACAGATATATGTTGTTTTTTTTGTTATGCTTGAGACATATATTAGTGATGAGGGTGAAGATGATGTAGACGCATATATTGATGATGGAGTTATCGCGCTTTTGCCGTTCATGACAGATGATGAAGCTAATGATAATTTTTTCATTTAAGTATTCACAATTTTTCTTGAATGACGTTTGGATGTTCTTAGCTGATCAACAGCATGCTTATGTTAAAACGTGCGTTTGTGTGTGAGCAGCAACTAGCTGGTTTGAATGTTTGTGAAGGATTATTTTCTAGACTCCTAGCTAATAGCATGTCTAAATACTTGCGTGACTCATTTTTTAGATCAAATGCTCATGCCAGCTTTATTAGAAAGCGTAAGACAATTGGACGCACGCGCTGACATGACCGGACTCACGCCGTGCGTCCGTTCAACACAGTGAAGCACACAGAGAATGACCGGACTCTGAGTTGCGGTGCGTCCGTTCGTTCCATAGGCTGGCGTCCGACCGAAGGCAGGAGAAGGATAGCATGACACCGGACTCCTCCGAGCGTCCGGTCATCTACACCAGACACGTCAGATGGCTCTAGGCGCTCTCTGTTATCTTTCTAGAGGAGACCGGACGCTACAGAAGTGTCAGGGGAACCACATCGGCACGTCCGGTCAGGGAAGTTCGAAGCGCACTAAATTTCTAATTGACTGACATCGGGGCCCACATCTAAATTTCTTCCTCCCGTCCGTTCGCCGCGCAACCGCTCCGCTGATTTCCTAACCCTAACGTCGCGCAAGACGCAGCGCCTTGATCTTGCCGTCGTGCCCGCTTTGCGCGCGCCACCACCCCTAGCCCAGCAGCGTCCTCGCCCATCCATCCTCTCGCCCGCCTTTGCTCCACTCCACGCGCAAGACGCACTCACCTCGCGCCTTTTTGACGCAACCGCGCCGCCGTCGGAGTTCTCGTCACGGCCGTCATCTTCCTCCTCTCCGGTGACTCCGCTCAGTTAGAAAAGGTTGTTTATGCTATGCCTCACACATTTCGGTCTTTCTTGTTTGTCCTTGTGTCTTGTGACTGTTGGATCTTGTTGGAGTGATTGATGCTTTCCTACTCTAATCTGCTTGATGCACCCATCATGCCCAATTTTAGTTGTGGTGACTTATTTAGACTTATTAATTGAATTGGTGATTTGCCTAAATTGGTTTGTAACGCTAGAGCTCCAAAACCATGAAGTTCCCAACTCGTTAGGTCGAGTGTTTAGAAAAGCGCATTACGCTGTAATTCTATCGAGTTAATATTCAAAGTATATGACACTTGATTCTTAATGTGCGTATACACACTTTTTTCTAATGCATGTCATTTTGACTTTTCGGAGACGATCAACAAGCTGAATTGAATCATCTTTCGGTGCGATATTTCTTGTCACCAAGGTTACCAAGAAGAAGAAGCGGTCGCGTTACGATATTGAGGCGAGAGGCGGCCATGGCGATAAGCACATGCATTTGAGAGAGCTAAGCGAGGTGGCCATGGTAGCGATCTCCGTATTGGAGAGAGTTTGTCACACCGCAGAGAGATAGGGTCTGGAGGCGAGTTGAGAGTTTTCACCGGAGCCCTCGCGGCCCAGATGATAGCCCACAGAGAAAGTCCGAGGAGCAGGAGGCAGAGCAGGAGGAGACAGAGGAGCCAGTAGAGCCCCGACGACGTCGCTCGACTCAGACTTTCAGACCGAGGTGCAGCCGAGGCCTGGACTTTCGAGGCGTGGTTCCGGGCCCCTCCTAGACACTGTGGACCACCACCAAGTCTGGCGCCTTGACACGAGAGCCGCCCTTTGCTCATCAGGTTTAGCAGACTCTGCTTTGTCGAGTTTGATCAGTGGTTCCTGCCTCGGAGGGATGAGCGAGCTTCAGAGGGTTTCTACACAGTTCTTCAGGAGGACTTCTACACTGCCTTTGCTCTCAGTGGGGTTGCTTTGAGATCTCACAGAGTGTCATATTAGGGACATAGTTGCAGCTCTGGCGAATAGATTCGTCCCTACCTCACCTACTTACAGGTTGGGTGACCTTATGGGGCGGAGTGGCGACGCACGTTGCGAGTGGGTCGAGACGGTTCTATGCTTCTTTGTGGATTGACCTGGTCGCAGGTTCATTCACTTTCTTTGTGGGAGGCCGTGACCACCGCCTTTACAGTAACCGTGCTCGAGAGATTCTGATGGTTCCAGATGACTCGATCAAGCTTCACCCAGTTTGCTACGGTCGAGACAAGACACCGAGACGCCCTCACGGCGGAAGCAAGTGCCACCGGCATGTGTCTTGTCCGCCCTGCTTGAGAGAGCCGTTTGGCGAGGGCTCAAGACGCACACCAGGTGCGCTTACTCCAGTGGCTCGAGTCTTGATGCACTTATGAGAGGACACTACTTCCGGACGGGTGGCTACCGTGAGGGACTCACTCGCTTTCGGCTCCGGCTTATTCACCACCGATCTCTCGAGACACCGTTTGACATTTGGGATCGATGCTCTATGAGATGGAGGACACCTTGGCAGAGGGCTTCAAGGGGCACCGAGCGGTTGCCTTACGATCTTTGGATCACGTTTACGCCCGTAAGGCCTGTCCAACTCTAGTACCGATTATGGAGGCGCTACGGACTGTCACTGAGTTTCCAGATTATGACATGCGCCAGCTGATGGTTTCTCTTGGCACACCTAGTCCTTCGCGCAGACAGAGAGACAGGCCTAAGGTTACTGAGACAGCTGCACAGCAGGATGCCACAGTGGGAGAGATTGCAGACGATGAGCTTGCAGCTCTTGAGACACAGCAGGGAGCCACCGACTTGGACGACTACTCTGACAGTTCAGACGAGGAGTACATGCCGATCCCTCGGTACTCTCCTCGACCTCATGACGCCGAGGGCTCTAGTTCAGCAGCACCACCTTAGTCTGACCCCGCACTTGCAGCTATCCTTGAGCAGATGAGGCAGGACCAGGCTCGACAGGCGGAGTCGACCGCCACTGCTATAGCTCAGCTGCAGACACGACAGGATCAGTTCCAGCAGCAGCAGCAGGACTACCAGCGATAGCAACAGCAGCTTCAGAGGGACCAGTTTGAGTTTTAGAAGCAGATGTTTGGGTGGATGCAGCACGTGGTCTAGGCTATAGGGATTTCTCCTCCTCCGGCCACACTTTAGCTCTTTGCCTCCTGTGCGGCCAAGACCTGACCGACTCAGCATTCTGACCCAGTGGGTTTCAGAGTCACGGACAACCGATTTCTCAGTTTGGGTCACCCACTGTTTAGATCGCTCAAATGTTTGCAGCACAGCTCAGTCCGCAATTCACGCCTCTGCACACCGGCTTCACTCCTACATAGACTGAGTCTCTACTTGTCACCTCTTCCCTAGTGTCGCAGGGCTTGGGTGCCTCCTACAGTGAGCTTACTGGAGCACCGACACCTACTAGGCTAGTCACTACTTCTGTTGCTACAGTTTCTGTGCCCTTGCCTGTGAATGAGCCGCCTCACACTTGTACAGTTCCAGCTACCACAGTTGAGGTCACAGCGACAGTGTTAGTGTCACCGGGTCCGACCACTACTTCAGCTTCTCCTTCTCAGCCTGTCGACCCCGTGACCACTACTATTGAGGCTACAGCGACAGTGCCAGTGTCACTGGGTCTAACCACTACTTCAGCTTTAGAGTCTCAGCTTGTCGACCCTGTGACCACTACTACTGAGTTAGAGGGTCAGGCACTTCCGGCTTTAGATAGACAGATAGACCCAGCTTCACCTCTAGATACTGGGGTCGCAGACCGCCGGTTGAGTCGAGATGATGGTTCTCGGTTCTTTGTCACACCTTGACGCCTCTCTGCGCCTGACTCGTCTGCTGCAGCCCCACGGCCGACCGACCCATAGGTTTTGGTGCTTGACACCAAAGGGGGAGAGGGAGCGAGTATGTTAGACTTAGGGGGAGCATGAGAGATGGGTTCGCTCTTTTGTGTGCTACTTCATGAATCATGTTTACTTTCAAGCATCGTAATTGTGATATATGTGGATATGTGTGATCATGAGACTCTTGTGACATGTGTGCTCTCTGCG